AAACAATACACACACTTTAAAGTTGTAATGAATTTTATCAGCTTTACAATATATTAAAACTTATTGTATGCAGGTACCGCTATTTTAATTGTTTGTTTAATCATATTATTAATAATACTATTATTATTATTACCATTGTGATCATTATACTATTATGATTATTATCATTATTATTACCATCGATATTATTATTGATTATCAAACAAACAACATTTTTTTCAAAATGATTTAAACATTTTTAATTGAAAAATATTATACGTTTTTTTGTAGTGAAAAATCTTAACATTGTTAGTCATTATAGAATCCGATTTAAAGATAATAATAAACAAATAATGCAATAACTCTTCTTTTAAATAACTATAAATTGTGAAAAAAGCAACAGAAGAAGTTCGTGTTTTAATTTTTAATGGTTCAGATAATATAAATAAAATATAATATGTATTGATTCGATTCTAAGTTAAATGCGATTTCCATTATTCGACTGCATTAATGTCTTTTTTATGATTTATTCACAAATTATTGAAGCTTTGTTTTTGAATTTTATTCCCAAACGGCTTATCTTTGGAGGACCTAATAATATTTTTATTCCAATCACACAATGTGACAATGACGTCAAAATAAAAATTGCAAAAAAAAAAAATTCAAAGTCTGTTGGGTTTTTTAAAAAGTAATTCTTAATTTCATTTGAAACTGTCAGGTGCCGAATAGTCGAGCGTTTTCGTTTACTTCACGATCCTGTCCACAAGATATTTTCTTTCGAAAACCTTGTTTAAATTAATTATTTCTCTCGCACATTTACAATTTAATCATGTCCTCGTGGTGTTCATCGAGAACAGTATAGTCAGTATAATATATTATTATTATTATTGTTATTACATCAACCTGAATAATAATGACTGAATAAATATAAATAAATTTATACCCTATATATATGATTAAACAAACAAAATTGAAGGAATGAGAGGAGAAGAGGTCAAAAGAGAGGAATTACATCGTATCGAGGAGGGAGGGAAGCTTGATTATGATCGCGAAATTGATGAATTCCACCACGACAGTTTCGTTTCGACCCTTATAACCGGAAATGGCTCTTGAAAATTATTAACGAGGTTATTTGGACCTTATAGCTTATAGCTTTTTGGTTCACAGATTTTTCTCTTTTTATTTTGTTTGTTGATTTTTTCATCGTATTTTCATAACGGCTGCATGCAAATAAAATATGAAGGCAGATTATTATCGTCTGAAAATAAAAATAGTGTTATTTGATATTTGTTCGCATTCCAACCATAAAACGTCTTTGTCAATCGTCAATCATGTTTTTACCTGTAGTATTGAACTCATTCTACAATACAAACAACGTTAGCTGGCAGCACTCATATGATGTATTTTTAACAGCCTGTACATTTAAAATTTATTGATTGATAACAATTGTGTATGTAAGACTATTGTCGCACGTACATTTTTACTTATTATTATATTACAACTAAAAAAATAAGTTTTTTAATAAATGTTGGTATATTTTGTAACACCAAAATACCAAAAAAATTATTGTACTTATATTGTTGTTCTGTAGTTAATTTGCATAGAGTGTTTTCTTTAGAATTAATTACTTCAGTTTCCCTTTTGTTATTGCACTGCAGGTAATGTAATTGGTATTTTTCTCGTATAAAAGTAAACTTACATCATAAAAAAACGAAGTCCTACTACCGTTTTTTTTTTCAAAACAATATAAATAGTGAAATATTTTATTTTACTTTTTTGAATGATATAATTCATTCTTATTCCTGTAATTACATTTTCTTTATTTATATTATAGTGTTAATATTTTTCAATAATCTTAATGAAAGTTTAATAGTTACTAAATAAGTCAATAAAAAAATAGTTGCTGAATAGTCTGTTCTCAGAAAATGCAAGTTACAAATGATTATTAAATGTAGAGTATAAATAACGTTATAGGTGTATTAGTTTGAAATTGTATAAGCTTTATACAATATAATATTATATTAATTGTCAAGGACTGGATTTCATTGATATTATAAGAATAGTTATGTAAATTCAGTATTTAAATGTTTTTTATACCTAAGTCACATTTATTAATGCATATTATGTATTGTTCAAAAATCTATAAACAAAAAATATGTATTATAAACACCAAAAGATATGGGTTGGATTTTCGTGATATTTGAAATGGTTATTTTTTCTAAATCACATATTTTTACCCTTATACAACACCTTTGGAAATATTTGAATTTAGGAGGGGGATCACTGATAACTGCCGATTTCCGATGCAGAAACCCTTATTTTTCATTTCAAAATAAAATAACTATCGAAAATATACGACCCACCTATAAAATATAGAGAGGGTGATTTTGGACTGTAAAAAATTACCTAGGACTTGAAATGTCAAAAATGTTCGGGTAATAAATCCTTTTAGTTGTGTTAAATGTAGTTTATTTTTTTTCACCAACTCGTTGATATGCATTAACTTTAAATGTTGCCTGTTAGAGTCATTTTGGCATTGAAAACGCGTTCGATATAATTACAATTTACAAGGTATAGAATTTTTACAATAGAATATGTTATTAAGTAGGTAGGAATAATGAATTATATCCATAGCGATTAGTGAGAATTCAACATATTTATATGGTTTTAACTTTTAACGTTTTGATATGAATTATTTTATTATCGCGATCTGATCAAAAATCGCCGATATACCATATTGTAATTTCATATTCATAGTTTTATTATATTTTTTGTCCACACAACTAGCATATAATGTGGTCAATACCGAGAGTTTTTTGATACAACACATTTTTATTATTTTAACGTTTTGTTATTAATTAATTTGCCATCGCGATCTGATCGAAATTCGCCGATGCCACATTATAATTATTATTTTATATTCGTATTTTCGTCGTAGTCGTATAATTATTTTTTTGTTCGCGCTAGAACCACAAAACTAGAGTGTGGTCATTGCCGAGAGTTTTTTTTTTCGATGAGCACACATGTCATATTAATATATTATTATGTCCATGCACGAGGCGAGGTGTAGTAAACACGATACCGTTTTATTTGCAAACAGTGCTATAGTAGTTGTTGTTTGTCCTCGTGTACAACACGTCCATATCGCGTAGACCCCGTGGCCTCTCTCATATATATACCCATCGATCTATAAATCTTGACAGCCGTGCGGATAATTAATATGACGGCGGGACCGGGCGCAGAAACAAGGGTTTGGTATGGCACGCGTGTGTGCATCATGGGAAACTGTACGGCGGCGCGGGTATCTACACCGACTACACACACACACACACACACACACACACACACACACACACACACATATAGCAACCTAGGTACAAGAAAAGTACGTGACGTTACCAGGGACCGGGGAGAAAATCGATGGGTTTCCAATCGCATCCGGCTCCCGCTGTCATTTCCAATTTCCGCCACGGAAATAGTCCAGTGTTCAAAAAAATAATAATAATAAAAAAGGGAAATCCCCGACCAGGATGAGACCAAAAATGAAAATTAATAACATCAAAATTAATGGCGTGTGCGTTAAATTTAATTTCGTGTTATATGCATAACGGATATTTGCAGCACATATACATCAGAGCGATTACACTACATATACTATATACATAGTGTTACCCATAATATAATAATATATAGCTGGTACCTCTACATATTATGCAGTCGGAATCATTCATATGGCCATATATTTTAGTATCTATACTATATTAAATGGGGGGTGTCTAGATACTATCTATGCAATAATAGCTAATAACTTCGTAAATGGAAATATTTTTTAACACGGTTTTTCTCTTTATTATTACATGATTACATTGTAAAGAACATAAAAACTGGTTAAAATTTTAACAACAAAATATTATTATATCAACATTTATGTCTAAAAGTATCTCTATTAAACGTATAGTCATTATATATCCCTCGTTATTCTATAACGGGCTGTATTATGTACTTGAGGTAGATGATTTTAACCTAAAAACAAATAATATTTTATAAAGTAAACCATTTTTTTTATGATTCAGTTTTGCTAAAAAAAAATATGAAACTTTGAATGTCTCGATTTCTTCATAATACATATTTTATATTGCTTACTATAAATTCGAATATTTAATTATATCGACACATTAAAATCATGATTAACTCCGTAAACGTCGATAATACGTTACTTCGAAGTCTAAAAGTATACTGCAATAAGTCCATTATAGTCGGTGTTAATTTAATGTAAAAGTCAATATAGATTTCCTGTTAATAGGTAAATAAAATGAACCATATTAAAAAGCAATTCTGCAAATCAAGCAGTTAATCATAAAATAGTAATTCCACGATGGTTTTAATGTCATCATAGAATTCTTAGATTGAAGTATTGCAGTGAAAACGTTTATGTTTTTCGTTCAGTCAGATTTTCCATTAATTTTAATGTATCTACAAAGATTTTAAGACTTTGAATCTTAGCAGTTAAAAATAAAGTTAATAAACGTTTGAAATATTTAGTTTAATGTGCAGATGTAACTTTAGGTAGAAATTATTTAAATTTGGTATGTATAGTTTATTTTTATGAACATCCACTATTTTTTGTAAATCTACTTTTCAACCTACTTAAAAAAAATTGTAACTTTAATCGGAAATAAAAAAAACAAACAGTGTAATAATAATATAGCTGGTACAGTAACTATCATTTTTTCATGATCAAAGCCTATTTAGACGATAATAAGGTTTTTAAGGCAATCGATGCACAAAAGTACATATTATTATAAGTACCTATTGTAAGAATGTATATAATTTTTTTTAACTTCAATTCCCTCGGCCCGGAATTTGTCGAAGACACCAGACAAGGATATAAAAATAAGAATCAAAAATCTGACCATCAATCTGATACGGTTCTAGAATAATAAACTCGGATATTATCGATTATTTTGAAACAAACGGCATGCATTTTGATACGGGGGGCGTGAAAACAACCACACGAACTGTCATCCAAAAACTTTGGAATACGCACATCGATTGGACGGGGTTGAAGGGTTTCGTCGACTTTGGAAGTCGAGCTTATGGGGTGACAACCCTCTCAGTGTTAGCTCCCCCTTATCTTTGGGCTGCCGGACGGATATCCATCCATCGGAATGATTCCTCGCCTCAGCTCCGTCGAAAAGCTTTTTAGAAAGACATTCTCTATGAAACCTTGTCATCGTTCTTTTCTCTTGACAGCCACGTGACGAATAAGAAAGAAGTTTTTAGTCGAACAAAACAACAAAAGAAGTATATATAAAAGTGACAATACTCCTTTGGGGCATAGCCGTCTAGGATAGATCTAACGCAAATAAGTTGTTCAAAGAAAACTTATTTTTTATATTCACACGTCTGTATATTATAATGCTATACCTTTAAACAGCGTGTTACCACTGTTACCAGTTGTATCTTACAGTCTCAAACATTCATGTATTTTTCCACACCACGAAACTGTCCCGTCCCGTGTCTATCAAACATTATGCGAAGTCGTAAATTTTATAATCAATTACTTAAGTGCTCTATAATATATTTCCCCTCCTCTAGTATAACGATGTTATCACCGTTCCCGGGTGTTTATAGTTTGACAAGTTATCGGATTCAAATTAATTTAGGTATGGTTTGCGTGGAAAAATATATTCTCAACATGGCACCACCACTGAACCCTAAAAACATTGTTTATGTATTCGTAACAATATTGACTAATTGTAAAATGAAACCACATTCAAATTAATTAATTCAATCATTCGTCGTATGGCATGCGAACCGAATAAGTTCGATTAATCTATGCTATAATAACTATATGATTTTAATTCGCTTATACATAAATAAATATCCATAATGAACAATTATTATTACTATTACTCTGAATAATAATGATCAAAACACAAAATATTAATTAACAACCTTAACGTTGACAGAAACAAGAGAACAATATGCAAATGAGAAAAAAAAAATGGAAGGAACAGTACTGACATAAATTATTATAACATAATTATATCTGAAGCGTCCTTTAAAAAATAAAAAATAATCGAACTTTAACGTTAAGTACTCGAGTTGTTCTCAATTTATTATAAGACTGAGACGTAATAATAATTGTTGGCATAAAATTGTTACAGTGTGACTCGAATACTGCATTTCATCGGACTGTATTTATTATCATGACATAGTATTTTTTATTTTCCTTTTACTACTACAACGTCAAACAGGCGTTTAGTATTTTTTTTTATGAATTATGTGATAATAATATTATTATGACGCTATTATATATTATAATATTATGGAGTTTTGGAGTTTTGGCGATTTTTTATTGAAGTTAAACTTCTTATGTGAGGGGTATTGAAAAAAAAGAGAGTGACGCTCGGGCGTCACGGACGCTCGGACGCTCGGGCGTCACGGACGCTCGGGCGTCACGGACGCTCGCGCGTCACGAAAACGGTACGATGTTTTGTTTATAAAGTTTTTGATATTTTCCGTTTCAATATTTTGTAATCTTTTTGGAAACATATCATATGATATTATAAACAAACCAGTATAAACGTATAAACCATGATAAAATAACATGGTATGATGGCAACGAACTGAATATCGTCGGAGTTTGCGCATTTCATTGTATCCAGTTCTCCTCATAATGCACTATGTATATATATTGATCATGAAAACCAATGAAAAGCGGCGAACTGGATACAGCTCTGTATGATGGTCGGCGGGGTAAGGGGTATGCGTATCATAAAGTTGCCAGCATACCATGTTATTTTATCATGGTATAAACAATATTCCGTAGTCAAGTTGATAAAAGCGAAAACGCATATATAATAAATATTCCAGAGTGCGCGATAATATAATATAATATAATATAATATACTATTTTTAGGTGAGTCAAATTATGTATATTCAAAATATAACTCGATGAATTTCATCATATTATATGACTATACTATAAGTATTTAATAAATAATAATAATAATAATAATAAATATTTAATTAATACTTGATTTCATCTACATATTTACCATTACCAACGTACCAATATGTTTCCTTTACACTTGGATAGAAAATGGTACAAGTACAATTATTTATATTATATATAAGTAACCTACATGTATACTTTGTAGAAGGTACCTACTTGATATATCATTATTAATACCATAAATATATATATACCATTAATTAACATAAGATTATTATTATTATTATTATTACAAAACCTCATATCAGTTGTATGACTGAAAGAAGTTTCACTTCATCCCCGCGTACTTCTTACACGCTCGACTTTTTTTTTTTATTTCACTGGCACATATAATTTCGATAGACACGAGGAATTAAACTTTTAAATCATTTACGAGGCGCCAACAAACCTTGGGCAATCTTGTTTAAACTTCATTAAACACCGAACTTCAGTAGCTGTCTGTCAGCTGTCAAATTTGGAAAATGCGAGTACCCGTGCATGGTCTGGCGCCATCCACCTCTTCGTCGTGGTCCACATCGCTAATGAAACAACCGTCTTCCTTCACGCACAAACTTGTCTGCGATGGCCAAAAATAAATGCGATTCGATTGGCCACGGAATTCGCTATTGTTTCGAAACTGTGTGGTGGTTGTGCGAGACTGTATGAGAAACGATTCGGAAGTGAAACAGTTTAAGTCGCATCGTTATTTATTTCTTAATGTACCATGAAAAAAAAAGGGACAGATTTTGGCCCTTTGGAACGTATGAAATATTAATTTCCCTCTTTTTCGTGGACCGGAAGCACAAGTTTTTCTTGAAAAACTTTCTGTTCTGTCAGTAAGGGTCACCTGTATTAGGGGGAAAGTAATTGCGCGAAGTTATATATGTCTTCCGGTATTTTCACTGCAGTTTATTTTTTTATATGAGATACGCAGCGTGTCCGGTAATTATTTTTATAGCAACAATAATATTTAGTAACAATATAAATAGAAATAAATAATTAGGTATGGGGCAAATTAAAAACATTTTCCTAATCTATTTTAAATTATTTTTGGTTTAAATTAATCGAGTGTAGCATTAAGTAGGTCTATGCCACTAAATCTGAAGACGAAAGCATTGAGTCAATGCGACGTATATAATATATTAGACTCATTTATAATCATTTATCAAGAATTTAATACGTCCCGTAAAATATTTAGTTTTTAAATGTTTATAATATTTAGTTAGCAAATAGCAAAAGTACATTTTTTGTTTATAACGAGTGAAAATTTTTTTGTTACATAATTTAGAATCGCATTGAATTCTAGTATTGGGATTGAAATTTAAACAATTTAATACCTATCAATATTAATGTGAACCTATAGCAGTCGAGTTAATTCACTAGGGTTTGCCTACAGGTAGGTCGTATAAGTTATATATTTTTAGAATTATAATATAGGTACAAGTTTGAATGTATTATATGAATTTCCTCCAAAATACTATTGAAAAACATAGGGCTGTAAAATAATTTTAAAAACTTGGCCAAATAAGTCTGGTGTCAATATTCGTCTTACTTTTTTCATTTTTGGCCCCATTAAAAGATAATATAGTTGAGGTTGGTATATAATAATTATTATAATGTATGCATTTGAAAGGAAATGATAAAGCTCTGTTAGAGGTTTTTAAATACTTAACTAGTAGAGGTTTTTTAAATTGTTATTTTTTCCAGTCCTAGATAGTTTTCCTTTTGATTTTCATTACACTAAAAGAAAATACCAAGACAATTCAGAGTTACCAATTTAGCGTATGCGTGGGAAAAAAATACCTCAACCAAACTAATATATTTCTTCGTTTATCTCAACTAAAAAGAAAAAAACATTTTTGCTAACGTATTTTTTATAAAGTTAACTAATTCAAAATTATTGTTATTATCAATTTAATATGAATATTTTAAAAATTATGTGGTATATTTAATACTGTTACGGGTTTAATTACTTAGCTTAACTTATGTATAAATGCAATAAGTAGGAAAATGTTTAAAATTAAAAAAAAAAACTCCTCTTTCACGATGAAACATATTTTTGATAATTTTTTTTTAAATCTAGAAAAAGCTGCAAGTTATTTTATGGGCTTTTGCTTTTAACACAATGGCCGTTTTTATATTAATAATAAATTCAAGAATGTTCGCTGTACTTGGCTACTGCTAGGAATAGCGTTTGGACCTTGTCCGAAGAACAAAATAAACAATTTCATCTCTGAAAGACTTAATTAAAAACCACCACATTCCATTTTAGCAGATGTATGTGCTTTAGATCATTTTCAGTAATAATTTATAATATTCAAAATAATAAAACGTTTTGTTTACAAAATATGAAATAGGTAAATAAATGGCATTCAAAATTCTGAAAAAATAAAACTTTGACTAAATAAAAGTTTTACATAGAATTATATTATTGTACAGATCGGATTACTGCTTATTGTTATATAAAAAATAACATAAGTACAGTTAGCATATTTTCTGGAATCTGAAATAATTATTTATAAATATTTGTTCGTATCTATTCATATTATTATACTTCAAATGTCGAAGAAATTGTTTCATTCTAAATATTATTTCATATACATTACATTTGTAAGATACCTATGAAAATTAGCTATTGAAATAATCATCTGTATCCATTATAGTTTAAGGTAGGCACTCAACACGCTGTTGTTTGTGTGAAAATCATCATTATTAAATTAACACAACCATACTTTTGTTTATATAAAAAAAAACTCTTCTCTCCGACGCATCCAAACCGTAAACGACGTAGTTTTAATAATTGAGTCTTATGTGGGCCCTCTTCTCGGAACATCGTGCGGAAAACCGTCTAAATTATGAACCACTTAGCAATTTGGTGCAGCCGAATTGGGGGGGAAACCGGGCGAATTGCCAGACATTAGTCACACAGTTGCCAGTCGCTCCGCCGCCACCGCCGGTTAAGGGGTAGGAAAAAGAACACTCGACGACGACGAGGAGACGTCGATGACGATTGGCGACCGTGAGCTTTGAACCTTCCATTAATTAAAGACCACTACAGGGTGTGTGCGTACTCGGAAGGATTTCTGCGGCGCAACCCCTCCTTGACGGCGCCTGGTCCATTAACGATAGGTTTTCGGTGTGGGGCCTACACCGTGGTGGTGATTATTATTATTATTATTATTGTGCAGGTTTCACTTTGCCCTGTACGTGGCTGTCCGCACCGCGATGCTGCCG